AGGTTGCATGTGAGTTTATAAACTCAATAGGTGCATGAATGTTGAGAATCCATAGATGAATTGAAGAAAATCTCATTTTTGGGGTTTGGATAAAAAGGAGGATTTTGATGATTTTGATGCATAGGTTGGATGCATGTGAGACTTAAGTTTTATTTGAGTCGTACGGAGCCTATGCATTGTGTTTTGTGTTTGCATGTGGCTGAATTTGTTAGTTTGAATGAGAGTTTTGAACTCTCTGACTGGGTTTTAGGCTAGGCGTAGGTTGAGCGCGCCAGGCGTGGAAGAGCTTAGGGCTCTCGAGGTTGGATGTTGGGCCAGACGTGTTTTGGTTGTGTCAGGTGCGGATACTCTTAGGAGTCTCTATTTCAAGGACACCGAGCGTGAGTTGAACGTTCTGGGCGTGGATGAGTCTTAGGACTCTCATGTTGGGATTAGGCTGGGCGAGCTCAGGCTACGCCAGGCTGATAAGTGTCTAATTAGTTTGATTTAATACTCACTTGAGACACTTATCTAGCACATTTTGTGTACATATTGATATTATTTTGATCTATATATGCTTAGAATCAAAGAGGTGCTTTTGATTAATGTTAGTATAGAGAATAGGAAGCCTTTGATCCAAATTGGTGCTTATTTTGTAGGTTTTGAAACCTGGAGAAGAATGGCTCAGCCATTCTGAAGCGCTCAGCGGATTCAAGTCAGAGAACTTCCCAAACTGAAGGCGCTCAGCCATTCTGAAGCGCCCAGCGGATTGGCCCCTAGAGGAGAAGGAATGCTCTCTGCCTCCAATCCGCTCAGTCATTCCCATCCGCTCAGCGGATTTCATCCAGGAACAAGGGGTGCTCTCTGCCTCTAAAGCGCTCAGCGGATCTAAGGCGCTCAGCCATTGAGGTTTCTTCATGGTGAAGAACTCCCAATCCGCTCAGCCGTTTCAAGGCGCTGAGCGGATTCATCTCTCTCTTGCTTACTCTGTTTTCATATATAAGGAAAGAAAGAGAGAGAAGTGGGGAGATATACGGGAGGAGAAAGAAAACAGAGTACTCTGGAGCTCGTGGGAACGCGAATCTTCAAAGGATCTTCTTCTTCTATCTCTCAACTTGTAATTTGGTGATTTCTTGTAATATGGAGAGCTAATCTCTAGGGTTGGGATAGATGTAATCATCAAACTCCTATGTATTCTCTTTGATTCATATATATATATCATCCATTACTTGATGTTAGTGATTCTGTCCTTTTCTTAATGCTTTGATAAACTAATCACTTATCTCTGATTTTGGGTTTGGGATTTGGTTGGAAGACGTTTTCTGAACCCAGACTTGGAACGAATCACCTATTAGTTTTGAGAGCCAGGAATGGTCTTGAAATTAATAGTTGTATCAAGTTCTGATTCTTAATGCGGGATGTTTAACTGAATGAAGTGAGGAATCATTCATTGAGTTAAATATCTTAGAATTTCTTATGCCAAGGAATTGGGTTTGAATGAATTTAGTGAACTCAATGACAATGAGTAATGGAATCTTTAGAAAGAATCAATAGGAATACATAGGAGGGAGATTGATGAAATCAAATCCCGACTATTTCTTATATCTGTTTTTCTTTAAATCAAATTACTCTGTGGTTTCTTGAAGTTGGAAAATCATCTTTATCAAATTTGAATATGTGTAACTATTCCAGTTTTAAATTTATAAGCATCAATTAATATAATAGAAATCTAAGTTATCTCACAAGTCCCTGAGGTTCGACAACCTTTTATTCATACTACAGAGACTTGGGTGCGCTTGCCTATTTAAAATCCTAACACAGGCGTGAATATGTTTATGAATGAATTGATGCTTATGCATGTTTAAAGTTGAAGTTTTAGATCATGTATGTATGATATGTGATTTATGGTGAGGTATGATTCATATGTATGCTTTATGACGATACGTATGAATGGTTGAATATGATATGACACGTGTATATGTTCATATGGGTATGTTTATTGATCATAATGATGGGTAGATCATTTATGATGTATGATGCATTATTGCATGTGATGTCTTATGACATGTGTATGATTGTTGATCATGATGGTGGGCAGACCATGTATGATGTATGATGCATGATTGCATGTGATGCCTTATGGCATGAGTCTAGCCTAGGACTTGAGGAGAGGAAAAATATTTTCGAACTGGAAGAGCTCACATAGAGTCTCTTGAGAGTGGTGCTTGGATAGGCCACTGATATATGAGAGTGGTGCTCTGGGAGGCCACTGGATTTGGGAGAGTGGTGCTCAGATAGGCCACTGGGTTGGGTGAGTCTCCTCTAAGTCCTTAGCTAGTGTTGGAGCGGGGTATGAGGTCGAGGGTTATTCCCTTAACCAAGTACTCGGGAAGGTGCGTGGATCCTTGCGGATAGTCGGTGGGCGAACTCCACAATTGACTTGGTTAATGCATGCCAAGGTCGTGGTAAGCCCGTACCCAGCTGTGCTATACCTGACGGTGGATCTGGACTTCCAATTGTGTAAGTGACATCATCCGAGTAAACCCGAGGGAGGATTATATATCCTGTTTAGCTGTGACCGAGCGGGCGCATTGGGCGTGAAAACGGTTGGGGTGGTTTCGGTAGGATGGAATGTCACTTATACAGCTCTATTGTTATGGAGATCTCCTAGGTGTATGCGTGACGACGCATTAGATGATTGATATGCATTGATATCTGTCATGAGATGCATTTATTGCATGATTATTAATATGATGAAGTGTGGTGTTTGACTTCATGATTGGTGGATTGTATTTTATGCATGAGTAATATTGGATAGAGTGTATGGTGTGACTCTATGAATATGATTGATATTTGGATGATGTGTAGTATAGATTTTATTCTGTACTTGTATGATTGTTTTGTGAACTCTAGCTTACTCTTCTGTTTCCATGTGGTGGAACTGCGATGATCATACTTGGTATGGGAGCAGGTCAGGGCTAGCTTGGAGTTGAGGTATCCGCTGCGTGATGGGGAGTTTTGATCCTCGTGTTAGAGTTATCATTTTGGGTAACGATTTTGTCTGTGCTTGACCGGTACTATGGAATATTATTTTTAAGATGACTGTACATATATGGAGTTATATTTTATAACCAGAAATTTAGTTATTTTATTTTTATTTGTACATGTATGTATGAGTTATCCAGCTTAGTATTTATCTTAGTTCACTAGTAGTAGTGCGATTCCACTAAGTATAGAGACCATGGTGGGTCGTTACAAAGAGACTTTGCCTTATTCATGTTCGACGCTACAAAACTTGTGTCTGTCATTGTTTAGGTAAAATTGACTTGATCACACCCAATGCCACTTATATTGAGTTTGACATTACCAAGTTAGAGAGCTCTTAAGGCAATTATGCCCAACGCCTCTTAACCCATGCCCAATATGATCAAGTCAAAGAGCTCTCCTTTAATTCACACCCGATGTTACCTATCTCGAGCTTTGTGTTAATGAGACAGATAATCTTTGGCTTGCATCATGTCCGATGCTATAACAATTTTTACAGAATTGCAATTTTTTCTCAAAACCTACAATTTCAACTTTAGTTCATCATGCAATACATATTCCAACCAATATACATTATATGTAATTAAATTTCATAGACTTAAGCATCATGCAACAACAAAAGGATCCCCCAAACTCATCATTTCTCTCTAACAAACTTCACAACACCAAAAACCCAAAACTTAAGGATTTCACTTCTCCTTTTAAATCAATAGAGCCACAACTTGATAAATTCATACAATAATCAACATGAATAACACAAAACCAATTAAACTACAAGCTTTCCTTATCACGATTCACCAAGAACAGAGGTAAAAAAAAGGAAGAATCCTTTGAGGTATTCCCTAAGACAACTCCCACACTGATTTTTAACTCTCCAAGTTTTGAATCTCCACGTAGCTATACAATCTACACTTCTACAAAAGATAGAAGCAATCCATGAAGTTAAAAGGAAGAAAAAATCTCTTTTAGCTCTATAGCTCCTATCTCTAATCTCTCTCTAAATTTTTTAAGAAAATGAACTTATGAAATTTAAATTTTAAGAAAACTTTATATACCTTCTCTTAAACTTGGTCAACTATCATCACAACTCAAAACAACTAACTCATAATAATTCAATAATTCTTACAATTTTTAAAATAATAAAATAATTAATCATACAATCATTTCATTAATAAAATAACTAAATAATTATAAAAACTAATAGTGTTACAGTTTTTAACATATTATTTGTTTTATAACACAATTTTCTTTTCTCTTTTTTTCTCTTTACGTGAAATTTGTTGCAAAATTTTGATAATATTATTCATTTGAAAATTTTATGGTAAGAGAAAACATGCAAGAGTCTCACAATTTAAAAAAGAAGTATTATTTTTACTTTCTTTTATTGGTAAAGATTGTGTATACTTTTGATGAGAGACAATTTTATTTGAGTTGGATAAAATTAATTTTTTTAATGTTGATTTTTATATAATCATTTTTATTTATTAAAAAATTTAAGATTAATAACAAAAATATAATTAATGTCAATCTAACTTATAATACAAGATATTGTTTTTATTAAAATTTTAAATAGAATTTAATTATAATATACCGATTATATAAATGATTTAGATTATCATTCAATCATATATTGTTATATGCAATAAAATTATTTTTGTAATAAATATTTTAAAAATCATACATAAAATGATTTCTAATTAATTGATAGGATAAAAATTTGTTTACTCTTAGAGAATAACAATTAGGCTCTTAAAATATATAAATATATATGTTTTAACTTTTCTCGATTTCTATTTTTAAAATTTCAAAAAATTGACCTCGTCTTTTTAAAAAGTAAGTAAACATAAAATCATTGAACACAGTTTAAGTATGAGTGGTACATTTGGAAAAATATTGACCTTAAGTGCGTCTTATGGTCAATATACTTTCACATTAAACCTAAGGATTTTATTATTATTTATAGGGAGGAACGCATCCAAAATTGTACCAAAATCACCAAGTAAACATGGTGTTAACTAAGCTTTCATTGATTCTTGTAATTCTCTCTTCATTCTTAAGCCTCCATGCTGCAAACCAAAATAGGGAAGCAAGTGCTCTATTTGAGTGGAGAGTGAGCCTTGACAACCAAAGCCAAGCCTCTCTTTCTTCATGGACCACTCATGTAAGTCCTTGCAAGTCATGGAAAGGAATTGTTTGTGACAATTCCAACTCTGTCACCGATATTAATGTTACAAACTTTGGACTAAAAGGTACTCTTCACTGTCTCAACTTCTCATCTTTTCCCAAGTTGCTTAGTCTTGATATTAGTAGCAACAGTTTTAGTGGAACTATCCCTCCACAAATTGCTAACTTGTCCTCACTTTCTCGATTGGTAATGACTGATAATCATTTTAGTGGTTCAATCCCCAAGGAGATCGGAGAATTGGGCAACTTGAATCGTCTATTGCTTGATGAAAATCAACTTTCTGGTACCATTCCTCCAACAATTGAAATGTTGGCCAACCTCGTGGAAATTGATGTGGCATATAACTCTTTCTTTGGTACAATCCCTTCCATTAGAAACCTGACAAATTTAGAACACCTTGGGCTCACAAACAATAGTCTTTCTGGCCATATTCCACCTTACATAGGAGACTGCTTGGTCAATTTGACGATTTTTGAAATCGATTCTAATAAAATATCAGGAACAGTTCCTTCCAATATTGGAAACTTGACAAAGCTGAACCAAGTGATTGTGGCCGAGAACTTGATTTCTGGATCAATTCCTTCCTCTATCGGAAACTTGGTCGACCTAACGATCTTAGACCTTTCTATGAACAATTTTTCCGGAGTTGTTCCTTCCACCTTTGGAAATTTGACAAACCTTGGCAAATTTTTACTGTATAATAACAAACTTCATGGCAGATTACCACCAGCAATGAATAACATTACAAGTTTTCAGAATTTACAACTAGCTAACAATAATTTCACTGGGCCTTTGCCGCAACAAATTTGCCTTGGTGGATTACTCACCAAATTTTGTGCTGACCATAATTATTTCACGGGTCCAGTTCCTAAAAGCCTAAAAAATTGCTCCCGTCTTTACAGACTCAGACTAGATGAAAACCAATTGACCGGAAATATATCAGATGATTTTGGTGTATATCCGCAATTGGTCCATGTTTATTTGAGTAGCAATAATTTCTATGGCCACATTTCACCAAATTGGGGAAAGTGTCCCAATCTCACATACCTTATGATGTCCAACAACAATTTATCTGGTGGTATACCCCCAGAACTTGGCCATGCAACCAAGTTAGCAGAACTTGATTTGTCTTCAAATCATCTAACAGGAAAAATTCCAAAAGAACTTGGGAACTTGACCTCATTGTCTAAGCTATCAATAAGTGACAATGAACTTTATGGCAACATTCCTACACAAATAGGTGCTTTGTCCCGCCTTCAAAATTTGGAGCTTGCAGCAAATAATTTTGGTGGCCCAATTCCAAAACAGGTGGGAGAATTGCTCAATTTACTTAACTTGAACTTGAGCAAGAATAATTTCACAGAAATAATTCCTTCGTTTATCCAATTGCCATCTCTTGAAGTTCTTGATCTTAGTTGGAATTTGTTAAATGGAGAAATACCAGTAGCACTTGCAAGTATGGAAAGATTGGAAACACTAAACCTCTCCCACAACAATCTCTCTGGAGCCATTCCATCCAGTTTTAAGGATATGGCTAGCTTGACAAATGTTAACATATCCAACAACCAATTAGAGGGTTCAATTCCTAACAATCCAGCTTTTCTTAAGGCTCCCTTTGATGCTTTGAAAAATAATAAAGGCTTGTGTGGAAATGCCTCCGGTTTGCTGCCTTGCCCAAAGTTAAGCCCTCGTGGAAAAACAAAAATAAAAGTCACCATGTTGACTTTAGTCTTTACTTTGGGTGCTCTATTTATAGTAGTGTTTGTGGTTGGAGTTTTGTCATGTATTTGCTATCGGAGAAGAACAACTGCCAAAAAGGAGGAGGCTAAAGAAGAAAAAGTGGAGGATCATTTTGCCATATGGAGTTATGATGGAAAATTAGTGTATGAAAATATCATTGAAGCCACAAACGGATTTGATGACAAATATCTCATTGGAGAAGGAGGGTCTGCATCTGTTTATAAGGCAAAATTACCCACAGGACAAACTGTTGCGGTGAAAAAGCTTCATGAGGTACCCAACGAGGAAAGAGTCGATTTAAAAGCTTTTACAACTGAGGTTAAAGCCTTGGCAGAAATCAAGCATCGTAACATTGTGAAGTCACTTGGATATTGTTTACATCCACGTTTCACCTTTTTGGTTTACGAGTTCCTAGAGGGGGGTAGTGTGGATAAAGTACTAAACAATGATACACGTGCAACAATGTTTGATTGGGACAGGAGGGTGAAGGTTGTTAAAGGTGTGGCAAATGCTTTGTATCATATGCATTATGGTTGCTTTCCTCCTATTGTTCATCGTGACATATCAAGCAAGAATATACTTATAGATTTGGATTATGAAGCCCACATCTCTGACTTCGAAACAGCTAAAATTCTAAATCCTGATTCACACAATTTAACCGCATTTGCTGGAACCTATGGGTATTCTGCACCAGGTTAGACCCTTTTTGATCTTAAGAAATTAATCATAAACTTGTTTCAGTAATAAGCTCTTGTACTTAATGTTGTATAATGTGACTTTCATATTGTGATCTATTACAGAGCTTGCTTATACTATGGAAGTGAATGAGAAATGTGATGTGTTTAGCTTTGGAGTGCTTTGTTTGGAAATAATCATGGGAAAGCATCCAGGAGATCTCATTTCTTCATTATTTTCATCCTCTGGAACATTACCGGTGTCTAATTTGCTGTTAAAGGATGTGTTGGACCAGCGACTTCCTCAGCCAATGAAGCCAATTGTTGAGGAGGTGATCGTCATTGCAAAAATAACATTTGCTTGCTTAAGTGAAAGTCCTCGTTTTCGTCCAAGCATGGAACAAGTGCATAACGCTTTTGTGATGCCACAATTATCTTCAGTGGATCCACTCCCCATGATCACACTCGGTCAACTTGTAAATAATTAAATCTTGTTTTCTGGTGTGTTGTAAGTTTTTTTTTTCTTTCTTTTTTTCTTTTGGTGCGTGGTGTTAGCTTTTTTTTTTTTTTTTTTTTGCGTGTTTTGCATGTTTTTTCTATTTTGTAAGACCTGGAAAATATTGGAAAGTTTTCTGACATGTTTTTCCAAGATTGAGAGACCTTATCTATTAGGTCAATCAAATAAATAAAGTGTGACTTTAAAGGGGTTTAATGCTTTTAGTTTTTATAACAGAGAATACTTTATATATATATATATATATAGGCAAAGCTCATATTTTTTTTTTAGATCTAGTTGCGATTGAAGGTCCATTTATAAATGTTGAAATCCTAAATCTTTAATTCTAAACTTTGTTCACATTACTTTGTATTTCATTAGTAGTTTAAATATTATGTAATATTTATACATATATAATTTTATACATTTTTTTTTCAAGATTCTTTAGCATTCTTTATTTATTATCCAAATAATAT